GACAGTAAGCTGAGGCAAACTTAGGGCTCTCCTTTTTTGATTTCCATCTCTCAGACCATTATTCTCTGTGACCTGCTATCCAGTGTCTTGAAACTCTTATTTCACATATTTTGTCCATTTTTTGATTGATTCAGGTTTGTGTGCATCTGTGTGTGTAAGCCTTGTACCTGTTACATCAAGTCTAGATGACGCTTTTTTGTAATGGAGTGTTTTATTTCAGTAATATGAATATGGGTAAATATTTAACATCTAGGTTCTTAGGATGTCTGTAGTTACCTCAAAGGATATTGCAGTAGTCTGAAAAGAAAGTTTTTTTTTTCTTTTCTTTTCTAAAATTTAATCTCTTTTCTGGGCAGGGAAGTTTTAGAACCACACCTTGACTAACTCTTAGAGCAGGAGCACTTTATGTATGTATTGCGTACTCTTGTTTTAAAGGGATTTTCATGTATGTTCTCCATTTGATTATCTGTAGTCAAGTCGAGATTACTAAGGTCAAGGTTGTTACTAACTGATGCTCAGGAGCTTCGTGACTTGCTCAAAGCTGCACGGCTTACAAGCACTGCAAGAATAAAAGCTGCCATTTATGACACACTTCATGTGTGGTAAGTAGGGTGCTTAGCACTATCTGTAAAATCTCATTTAATTTCCCCAAAAAATGTATCAGGAAAGCGTTACAATTTTCCTTGTTCCAGATATAAACAAACTAAAGCTTAGAAGACACGCTACCTTATCCAAATTTATACCGCCGGGAAGTGCTCCAGCCATCTTGAACCGAGGCCGCCTGGCTCCCATTCTTAGAACCACTAGTCTACCTCTCATAGAAGTGAAATGCTCCTCTGTCTTCTTACTCTCTTTCTCTATGACCTCAATTGGTTCAACAATGGCAGATTATCTCATTTTAAGATGGACAAAACATTGTGCACTCTTGGGAATACCGCTCCTGTGCTATTGCTCATGAAAGGCAAGGACTTTTGGTGATAATGCTTATTGGGTGGTACTTATGGTGGCATCAGGAATATCATTTAAAGATAGATGACTCCTTTGATAGGGGCAAATTCATACCGTACTGGGTTCATTTTGTCATCAGTTATATGGATATTCATTTCAGAGTTCTTCCTATTAAAATTTTAAGCCCTACCCATCTCCAACATCTACCATTTCATATTCCTCTTCCCTTATTTTTTTTCTCTTTAACACTTATCCTTAATATATTAATACATTTTATTTCTTTTGTTTATTGTTTGTCTCCACTAAAATATAAGTGCCATAAGGACACACAGTTTTGTCTGTTTTGATCACTATTGTATCCCCTACAACTAATGAATAAGAACTCAACAAATATTACACAGTATTCTTAGGATTTATGTTATTTGGGTTGTTATGTAATGGAGTGGAGAGCAATATATGAGACCAAGTTTTCAGAAGCATTAGGATCTACCTGTACACACTCACACTGCTACTGGATGTGTATCATCTACTATAAGAGGCTAAAGCCTGTAAGAGGAGGATGAGATCACTAGATGAGACAACTATCTCAGAAGTGTGGGGGAAGATTACATTTGCTTGTTAGCTCCTCCCTCCCCTCCTGAAAATACTATCAGCTGTTAGGACTGTCATGTTATGAAGATATAAACTGTAATGGGGAAGTAGTGGTATAATAGTAACATAGCCACTGGTCTCAGAATGCTGGAGTCCAATTCTCAGCTATTCTGCTTATAAGCTTTATATAAGTATTAGAAGTCACTATTATTTTATGCTAAAGATGTTTATCCTGTGAAGTCAAGGGATTCTTCAACCTTTTGAAACTGTATGCAAACTCATTGTGTCAAAGAGATAGGATGTATCTTTCTTGGGAGGTCTGTATTTTCATCACATTTTCAACATCTCTCAGTACTTATAATACTCTGGGCATCAAAGATCAAGTGATACTATTTATAAATCAATCCACACAAATACATTCCTTTGGATTGGCTTGAACTCCTTAGGGCCAGCCAAACTCCTAATATTTTGTAAGCCCTTAATATTTCTATGGTTTTTACTTACCCTACCTACATAGACTAGAGGTACAAAACATTAACTTCACTATTATTATATTCACCTTTTCACAGTGGAGGTTAAGTGATTTGCCTATACTAACATGACAGAGACAAGAAAATCTCATACATATTTTTATAAAATAATCACATTTAACTGTCAATAATACCTATGTATCTCTCTCAAGGAAATGTGGTTCTTTGAGAGTAAAAGCATCTTGCCTTATCTATTTTTGTAGTCTCAGCATCTGAAAAGTGTAAAGTACATACTACATGCTCAATATATGTCTGTTGTATAATGATTGACCTGGATATTAGCCTCAGATTTTCTGATTTTAAATCCTCAACGTATTATTATTTCATTAGGTCACATATCTTGTCATGAAATTATTCTAAAGGGACAGTCTCATTCTTTTGCTAATATACTGTTCTAGCATTTTCTCTTACTCAATATCTTCCTCAGCTAGAGTACTATTAAGAACACATTTACATTCAAGTAATAAAAAGAAAAGAGTCAAATAGAAAGCAAAATATATATTTTGTTTCTATTGAAAGCATATGGAAACTAAAGCCAGTGGTACATTTTAAATTATTCAAACCAGTCACTTCTTACAGTAGTTCCCCTTATCCATGGGTGATATTTTCCAAGACCCCCAGTGGATGTCTGAAACCAAGAATGGTACCAAACCCTATATACACTATGCTTTTTTCTCTATATAAATAACTATGATAAAGTTTAATTTATAAATTAGGCATAGCAATAATCCCTAATAATAAAATAGAACAATTGTAAGAATATACTGTAATAAAATTTATGTGAACGTGGTCTCTCTCTCTCTGGAAATATCTTCTTGTACTGTACTCACCCTTCTTGTGATGATATGTGATGATAAAATGTCTGCATGATGAGATGAAGTGAGGCAAATGATGTAGGCACTGTGACAGAGCATTAGGCTACTACTGTTGACCTTCTGACAATACATCAGAAGGAAGATCATCTGCTTCTGGATTACAGTTGACTGCAGGTAACTGAAACCGCAGAAAGCGAAACCACAGACAAGGGGATGTTACTGTGTTTTATTTCTTCATAATGTCAAACAGCCAATCACAACTAACCTCTTGTGTCATTTTCTTGGGATCTGATCATTCTTATGGCCACCAGTTGCATTCACTCTGTCCCTCTGGTATCTGTTTCACCTACCATATTCCCCAATCTTCTTTTTTGGTGCATTTATATATCTGTTGTATTTTCTGATCATGTTCTCCTGGTTTTTCATATTACTCCACTAAGCTGCTCCCTAACATACCTTTCAATTAGTTGGATAAAGAACATCCATCCAATATGGAAGCTATGTGATGAAAGGCAGAGAATCAAGCTTAACAGGTGAGGAGAAAAGAGGAGAAAAAGGAAAAAAACCTGGGCAATAGGATCACAGATAATAGCAATATTGCTATATTGATTTTTTTCCTTATATAATCCCAGCACACTATCAAAGGAACATTGATTAATGAATGGGTAAATACTCTCATTGCTACATCCCAGGGTAAGAGCAAATTTTTTTTTCAGCTTTTGAATATACTGCCTGCCTTCCTCCCGTCTTTCTTTCCTTCCTTCCTTCCTTCCTTCCTTCCTTCCTTCCTTCCTTCCCTCCTTCCTTCCACTCTTCTGTTCTTTTTTTAACTGTCACCTCTTATTTTCTGCACTTTGAGAACTACACCAAGTGAAAGGTTGGGTCCCCCAATGTCCCTAAAAGTTGTGAAAGATATATCATGTGCCTGATGTCAAGAAAACATTCCTGAGTATGGTGCTAAATTTTGTGGGGCAAGTTCTAATCTGACTATAAGTATATAAGCAAATATGGAAAGAATACAATTCCATTAGCTAATGATGTTCTCAGACATTTGGCTATAAGGAAGGTTTATAGGCAAAAAAATTGTATAAGAAGGCCATTCTAGTGGTTCTAAAATAATTCAGATTATTGAGATCCACTAAATTCCACATTATATAAATTCAAAGTAATTTTTATTCTCAAATTTTAACTTTTCTTACACATCATATATTTATATTTTGTTAGTGAAAAACAAACTTTACTTTCTAAATGAGAAATTAAAAGTTGTAACTCTGGCACTTCATAATTATATCTAAACTCTAATAATTTTATTACACAATTTTGGCAAAATCAATACAGCATTTTGAATATTTCATGTTAAATTCCAGGAAGAAAGAAAACAACAGTATTATTAACTTAATTAATTTAAAAATAATAATATATGTGGTTTGAAGAAAAACCAGTATTGCAGCGCTTATCATTTGTTAGCATGAAGGCACATGTGTCTGCTTTTTAGATTTCCAAATATAACAAAATATAAAAATTATTCATATGCTTTCCAATATCATATGCATGAAGGATTAATCCTTAATTTTCATTTGCTTGGAAGGCCATTTAATAAGTGAATTTGCATTATTCAAATTGATTCATCAAACAATAATGTCTATAACTGTGAAATCAATCATGCTACTTGCAGAATTATCCAGAGTTCCTTTGACCATGGGTTATTCTTAAAGGTATTTGAGAATAACTTCAGGCAGCACTTGCAAATTCGGGTAACATAAATACTTCCAAGTTTCAGTTCAAAAACACAATGCGATTTTATAGGGTAATGCTTTATATAAGAAATAAAGCCCTTCTTTATTTCAAAAATTGAAAGCCCTAATGTCTTTGTACTATGAATAAAGGAATTATTTTTGAAAACTTTAAAAATAGCTATAATTTCCCATTTAACAGTAAATATTGCATGCAAAAAACTCTAGCAAAGCTTCTAAATAAGTATTAAAATGACCAACTGATCAGTAATTTGCATCACTTCACACACAAAAAAAGATTTGACAGTAAATTACTGGGTCTATATGTGCATGCTACAGCATAGTGTGTTCAGAGTTAAAAAAATAAAGTAAAATGCAATTACCCTAAAAGACATTTCAAGATTCTCTCCACCCCAGATATCCATTCCTGCATCGTAAGTTCCTATCTCTTCAAAGTAGTTTCTGTCAATAGAAAATAGGCCACCAGCCATAGTAGGGGTCCTAGTTGAAAAAAAACAAAAAGAAAAGAATATCTTTTGAAAACAATGTGTGGAGTTTAATGAGACTATAGCAAATAGTTTTGAGACATTTTAAATTAAAAAAAATATAGTACTCAAAAATCTCAAACTGGAAACAGAGCCAAGGTGTCAGAGGTTTTAAAATTAATAAGTAGCATTTTATTTCACATTTTCTGTAAAACTAAATTTAGATTAGTCTATATTTTTCTTACAGGTGATCAAAAAGATAATATGGAGGGAACACTGGCCACTTAAGAGGGGGGCAATTATATTCCTTCTGAAAGGCATAGTGAAGAGAAGTTAGTGCTCTTAGCCCTACCAGGTGTGATCTTTTGTCACCTAGTTATAAAACATTTTATTGTGAATTCTAAAAACCTGTGGAAAGGGTTTCTCTGTGAAAATATCTATGATCTATTTAAATATGAAAAATATTAAACACTATAAAATGTTTATAGGCAATAAGTATCTAATGATATTTACGGAAGCATTTTTTTTAAGGTAAGAGCTTTACATGTATTTGTTTATTCTTCTCTTTACTCAAGTAAAATGATAGCGTTAATCACATGGCCCTATGGATAAACATAAATCCCATATGCTTAGAAGAACATTTTGCACAGATTCTAAAATGTTTTCCTAGGAATAAATGCCTTCGATTCTCACGTTTGAAATTTCTCTATAGGAACTAAGAAGTCAGATGTTAACTTTTCAAGGGATTACTCATTAATTAATTTTAAAAGATTAATTAAAGTCAACGGTTAATATATGAACTATGCAAGTCTTCCTATATAAGCAGTACGAACTGAAACTAAAAAAGAAAATTCTAGTTTTTCACAAATGGATCTATCTATACTGATAATTATTATTTTTTAATGTTAATTGTAGAATAGCGGTTTTAAACCTTCCTAGCACATTAGAGGCCCCCAAAGCACTTTTAAAAAAACACATTTCCATGCTTGGGTATCACCCTCCACAGATTCAGATTTAAGTGGCCTGGAGTGGGGCCACACCTTTGGTAATGTGTAAAGTCCTTGGTGATTCTAATGTGCTGCTAAAGAGGAGTAACACTGGTCTAAGGGATTTGGAATGTTCATCCAAGTAGTCTGAGATTGTGAAAAAATTAACAAATGTTGCTTTTTTAGAGATTATATCTTCTTCTGCCACAGGATATGTTCATGTCCTCTAATTGAACAATGTAGTTTACTGAAAAACCACCAAATAATATTGTACTTGGAAATCAACCATATGGCAAAGTTCTCTATTTCTCCCGGTGTTCTCACTGTTTTACACTCAAGCAATTAACTGTCCATCAGCTGGAGTAGCAGAGCCTCCTTAGTCTCAGAACTATTTTATTTCTTCTGGTTTTGCTGCCTTGCCATCATGAATAGTATCATTGACCTTCTGAGTTATAATGAGAAACACTAACATAGCTAAACAGATGGTAATTATGGAGTAGCCACGACCCTCACCTGATTGGGGTTTTGGAATTCTGTGGCAATAACTATACAAGGTGTAATAGTGCTGAGTAGTCTATTTAACGAAACTGGGAACAAAAATTGCTGCGATTATCTTATCATAACGCAACCAGGTGTGTAAGAATGTTAAGTGATGCATTTTTAATGATCTGTGCAGAGTGCCTGCCCACTTCTCTATTTGCTAATAAAGTACTAATGCATTTAGCTTAAATACATGCATTGAATTTCATCTTACAGTTGTTCGTAATTCCTAAAAAATATGTGAGAAATGTATAATAAATGACTAAAATAATTTATATATTTAACCATAAAAATGACTCAAAAGTTTCACTTATGCTTAAAAAGTAACAAAAATAAGAGCACAAAATCACAATTCCTCAAAAAAATCCTGTATTTTCTGAAGACAGATGCTCCTAGGGAGATTTTTTTTTTTTTTTGTATTTGCAATGTTAGCTCTCTCAAACAGTCCAGAGACTGTGCCTTATATAATATCTACAGCCATAGCCAGTGTTATGCAACATGTTCTATTCTAAGTTAACTGCTCTGTACTGTCCCTAATGAAGTATTTGCATATGCCTCTGTGAACCTTAAGTGTTCAGGGTGCCTAGAAAATTAAAAACCTATATACGGCCTAACCTTATTAATCAATTCAACCCATTGGTGGGGGAGGAGGGTAATCAGCCCAAGGGCTGTGAATCTTGCCTACCACACAGTCAGTAGGTAAAGATGAATTGAGTTAGTAGACGTAAAGCACTCGGCACAGTTCCCAGCACAGAACAAATAGTTAATAAGGTTAGGTGGTATATCTTTGTCTCCGTCGTCGCTGTTGTTGATAATCATTCATGGGTCTTGAGCATCCCTCACTTAATTTTGACTTCCCATACACACCCTCATTTCATTTCAAAATCATCTGAATCTACTTCAGATCCAAGATGTTGAACTCCAACATCTGCCTCTCTGAACACAACTTTCTATTTTTTAACCCCTCCTATTTCAATCCTATGACAGTCACTTTTTTATTCTACCTGCGTGTTTAGGGTTCCTTAGCTACTCCTTATTCTCACATAATAACCCCCTTCAGGAATTGTTCCTTTCCCTCCTTTCACTCTCTCTCCAAGGTTCTGCCAGGTCAGGGAGCAAAAATAGCTTAGCATCCTAAATTCTCTGTCCTTCCCTTATCTGACCCAATTCTTTTTGTAAATATCAGTGTCTGGGTAAACCTACCCTTGCATTATCCACTTCTGCTCCTAGGAGCCAGAGAATCATTGAAAAAGCAGTAAGATGAGGTCAACTGGTAATACTTCAAGTCCAAATACTCTCTGCTTAGCCTATAAACAGCTAACGATCCTTTTATCTGTGTTAATTTGTCTCATTTGTGTTAATCTGTCTCATTTTTTAGCCGACTCTTATCTAGAAGTTTTGGCCTCTTCTCAAAAAATGAGATTAAGGCAATGCATAAAATCAAAATTCCCTCGGTCATGAAGTCTAAACTCCCCCTATCTCTACCTCAGTATGTGTATGTGTCTTCTCATGGCTTCTTCCTTCCTCCTGCCTCAGAGGAAAGAGTATCTCCTTCTTCATTGGGAGCTAACATTCACTCTTTTGCCCTCAGCCAGCTCTTTCTGACTACTCTTTCAGCCACTTGCTCATTGACTATTACATTTATGTTTTATGCCTTTCATTTCTAGATTGTCCTCTTGAGTTTATGACACTTCTCAATCAAGTTCTATCCTAAACCAAAATAGTTCTTCACTCCCATCCTACTACTCATTCCAACGAGGGATATGTATTTTCTATTCCCTTCACTGGTAACCTTATTGAAAGGATATGTTCTACATACTCCCTCAACTCCTCTTGACCTTCTAACTGGAATCTGGATCCTCCTCCCACCTCTACCATAACTTCTTTCTGAAAAGGCCCCATTGATTCTGAACTTCAATAGGCTTTCCTTAAAATGTCTTCCTTTGGAAGGATTTGAACACAATTCAGCCTCCCTGCTTAAAGCACATTTCACCCCTGACTCCAACTGCATTTTTTCCAGAGAGGTTTTTCCTACTCGTTTTATGATTCTTATTGATATCCCTTCCTATTCCTTTTCCTTGCTGGTTGTCTCAAGTTCTTAATTCCATATTTGTGACATGACTGTAAGATACAATTATAATATCATTTTGTAGATGTGTGCACTTAATAATTATCTCCTTTTCTCCCAATATGTAGTCTTCCCAAGGACCTCTCCATGGAGCTTTCCCCTTCCTATACTCTTTACCTGTATAAGCTCTTTCACTGTGTTCCTTTAACTGTCCTATCTGTGAGGCAGAGTCCTAATCTGTGTTTCCTTTTTTCATTGCTTCTTTCTGCATTGTTTGTGTTTTTCTAATTACTTTCTAGATGTTTTCTTAAAAAAAATTCCTTTGAGTCTGCTCGAGGTATAAACATAGCACTGGACATGTGCTACTCTTCCATATATGCTTCTCCTTCAGTGTCCTCTAGTTCCTTCCAGAATCTCAATACAAAAGGATAAAACCCCTTTTAGTAACTTTCTTTCCTGTGTCCCATTCAATCATTTCCCAAATACTTCCTTTTTTCCTTTTTTTTTTTTAAAGATTTTATTTATTTATTTGACAGAAAGAGACACAGGGAGAGAGGGAACACAAGCAGGGGGAGTGGGAGAGGGAGAAGCAGGCTTCCCGTGGAGCGGGGAGCCGGATGCGGGGCTCGATCCCAAGACCCTGGGATCATGACCTGAGCCGAAGGCAGACACTTAACAACGCCACCCAGGCGCCCCTACTTCCTATTTTCTTCCAAAGTATTTTTGACTCTTATCTCTGTTCTCTGTTATCATGGTCACTATCCAATTTTAGTCCTCTTACTTCTAACTTCTAGAGTCTGCTGCTTCCAAAATTTATTCTACAGACCATAGCCAGATTAATCTCTCTAAATCAAAACTCTTCTGAAACTGTTTACCAGATGTTTAAATACCTATTTTAAGAAATAAATTCCAGGGGCGCCTGGGTGGCGTTGTTAAGCGTCTGCCTTTGGCTCAGGCCATGAGGGTCCTGGGATCGAGCCCCACATCGGGCTCCCTGCTCCACGGGAAGCCTGCTTCTCCCTCTCACACTCCCCTCGCTTGTGTACCCTCTCTCGCTGTCTCTCTCTCTCTATCAAATAAATAAATAAAATCTTAAACAAAAAAAAAAAAGAAAGAAATTCCAGGGGTGCCTGGATGGCTCTGGTGGTTAAGCATCTGACTACTGATTTCCGCTCAGGTCATGATCTCAAGGTTGTGAGATCAAGCCCTGTGTCCGGTTCTACACTGAGCATGGAGCCTGCTTAAGATTCTCTCTCTCTCTCCCTCTGCCTGCCCCCTGCCACTCGTGCACACACTCTCTCTCTCTCAAAAAAAAGAAATTCCAGCTCCTTATCGTGGCATCAGTGATGCGGTGCCACCCAAAGAGCATCTCCATTCCTTTTAACTATTTCCCTATATTCAAAGTGCTTAGCTGTTCATAGT